CAGCAGGGCACTGCCGGATGCAGCCCGGCTGGATCGGAGATCCGGCACAGACGGGCGAATGGGTTCCGACCCTCCAGGGTCCCTGCTGGGGGGGACTGACGCAGGGACGGGGCATCATTCGGGGATGCTGGTTGTGGTGAGCTGGACCCCACGGACAGGCCAGGGCTGGTGGCTCCACAAGCTGCCCATAGTCCTGGCCACCATAGAGTTGCCACTATCCTGGTGTGCCCTCCTTTTCTGCCCCTCTTTGGGGACCTGGCTGGCCATCCCCTGTCCTTAGTCCCAGGAGAGCCATGCCTCCCCAGCATCACTGTCCCCAGTGCCACCAGCTACCGCTCCAGCCATCACACGGGTCCCTGTGCCAGGCCCAGGCTGCCCACCTGGGCCCTCCCAATTCCTCCCCAGCTCCCCCAAGGGCTCTGCACCCCTGGCCCCCAAGCCTGTGCCTGTGTGGCACAGTCAGCACCAGTGGCTGGGGGCCGCGGGGGGAGGTTTGTGCCGGACAACAGGTTCCACAGAACACCAGTGTCAGTGACGGGGGGGCTGCAACTGTCCTGGTGACACCCCCTCCCGGCCCCCCACTGCAATCAAACCCTCCCATGGCACAGACCCCTGGGGGTTGAGAGGCTGCGGTGGCAGCTCCCGGCACACAAAGCAGCACAGCCATCCCAGGGGGGCTGGCAGCCCCCCAGAACCTGCCGGCTGCTCTGCTGACCCCCAGCCGGGGGGTGTGGGGACAGCTGTGACCCTGGGAGGACAAAGGGACCCCTGCCCTGGTGGGGGCTGGCTGGGGGGCACCTGTCAGGGCTGGGCCAAAAAAAAATTTGGGCCCCTCCTTGGCCAACCCACAAGCGCTGCCTGTCCCTGGAGATGGGGACACTGTGGCATGGCTTTTCCCCCCCCAACCCCCGAGATGACTCTCAGGGGTGATGGCTGCAATGTCCACCCCCAGTCCTGCCCCTTCCCCAGCTCCATGTGGGACACGGCCAGGCTGGGGGACAGGGTCGCACTCTGGGGCTCATCAGCACCTGCACCAGAGCCAGGCTGAGGG